TCCATTCCCCTGAGTGACACCTTGTCTGACTGGTAGTTTCTTACAACAAATTTGGTAATTAGCTGTCCTCGTGGGATCGACCTAGCTTCCATTATCTACAAAAATCATAATCCAAGCTAGTAATATTTTTGGTGAACTCGGCACGCACCAGAAAATGGCACCGTTGCCGGGGACGGCGTAAAACCTCTAAAAATTTGTTGTTTTTGTTTGTTTGTACATATATAAAATTCTTCTCTGGTTACCTCACTAAGCTTCCAATTTCTTTTCTTTGGTGTATGAATAGAAGGCACCAACGGAGTGAGCCTGTTTTTGACCCAGAAATTGAAGCTACCATACGCAGAACCAGAGCAGCAAGAAGAAGGCAGAACCGGTTGCAACAGGACAACCAAGAAGGTTCATCAGAAATGGCTAACCAAGGTGGTAATTCGGAGAACAATAGGAACCCTGGTGGGGATCAACAAAATCGACCAGAGAGACTGCTTAGAGATTTCTTCATCCCACAGCAAGAAGAAGTCCAATCCCCTTTGGTGTTCCCTGATATAGAAGCAACCAATTCTGAGCTCAAACCACAGATGATCCAATGGACTCAATCAGCCTGCCCATTCCATGGATTACCTCATGAAGATCCTAATGATCACATCCGAAGTTTCCTGCGTTTATGCAGTACTTTTAAAATTCAAGGCTTATCTAATGATGACATTAGACTGAGGTTATTCCCTTTTACCTTGCAGGATCACGCCCAAGCATGGTTCAATACATTACCCAGCAACTCTATCTCCACTTGGGAAGAGTTAAGACAGTGTTTCCTGAAAAAATTCTTTTCACCCGCAAAAGCTGCACAACTCAGAACAGCAATAATGAACTTCAAGCAGCATGGAACAGAAACACTCTATGAAGCATGGAAAAGACTGAATGAAATGATCAGGAAATGCCCTCAGCATGGTTTGGAAGAGCATCTTCAACTGAGCATCTTCTACAATGGACTGCTACCAACTACGAGAGACTCCCTTGATGCTACAGCTGGTGGTGTATTTATGATGAAGCCGGTTGATGCAGCAAGGCAGTTGCTTGACAATATGACCACCAACCATTCAAGATGGCAATATGATCCAAGGGCAAGTACAAAACAGCCAGGGATGATGGAACTTGATCCCAGTACACACCTGTAAGCACAAATGACTGTTATGATGAATGAAATGACTAAACTCAGGAGTGAGTTGTCCAAATCCAAGGCTGAAGTGTGTGTATTATGTGATGGATCCCACAGTTTGGATGACTGTCCCTCCAAAATGGAAGCTGTCCAGTTTGTTAGACAGGGCAATGTTGGGGGATTCAACAACTTCAACAGTTGGAGAAATCAACAGCAGCCTAACTGGAACAATGCACCACAACAAGGAAACTATCAGAGGCCTGCTCAACCCCCAGGATTTTACAGACAAGATAGTCAACCTCCCAACTATCAGAATCAGCAGCGTTCTAACCAGCAATACATACCAAGGGAAGATGAATGGATTTCTGTGCAAAATGCAATCAAGAATTTGGCGGTGTCTTCCAAAAGTTTGGAGAATCAGTTGGCCCAGATTGCAAAACAAAATGCTGAAAGACCATCTGGAAGCCTGCCCAGTGATACGGTTGTAAACCCCAAGGGGGAATGACCAAGAGCAAGCAAAGGCTGTCACTCTTAGAAGTGGAAAGCAACTCAATCAGCCAAGTGAAAAAGTCACTCCCATGAGTGACCCTGCAGGTAAGAATGAAACATTTTCTGAGAAAATATCTGATAATAATGATATGGTTGAACAGCAGCAAACAGCTGAAAAACCAGGAATGGAGGAAATTCAATTCCCAGCACCAATTAAGGAACCACAACAGCCAGCTCCAAATCCACCATATCCGGTAAGACAAAAGAAGGCCAAAATGGATGAAGGGCTCAACAGGTTTGTTCAAAACTTAGAAAGTATACATATTAATGTACCACTTGTGGATGCACTTAAACAAATGCCTAAATACTTCAAGTACTTGAAAGATTTGGTGGCCAATAAACCACAAGTGTATGACTCTGCTTTTATCACTCTAAATGAAGAATGTAGTGCAGCTATCCTGAGAAAATTGCCACCTAAGTTGAAAGATCCGGGTAGTTTCACTCTGCCTTGTACAGTAGGAATCAGAGAGTTTTCAAAAGCATTATTAGATCTTATACATTTATTCATCCGTAAAGGGATGTTATTCATTGGGTCAACAATTATTATTAATTTTCCGATTTCATAATCCCAGATTATTCATCATCTATTTATATTTATTCATTAATTCATCGAACAGTCATTCATTAAGTTTGTGATACATTTGATACGTTGATATTAAGAAACACACTAAAAAATTCATCACATCTGACAAGTTATTCATGGAATTTGTAAACATATTGTAGCATGAGCGAAAAATATCAGACAGAATCTGAAAGAAGCATGAGCGAAGAACAACAATCAGAAGTCGAAAGAAGCAGGATATCTGAATCTGCAAAAAGACCAAACCACAATAAGGGTAGACATTGATATAGAAGGTTATTCAGCAGTTTTGTAAACTAGTATTATTTTTTTGGTAAATTTAGTAGATCTTTGTATTATTCATCAGTTTGGTATAATTATTCATTGTTGAAATTGCCGTATCATTAGTTTGGTATAATTATTCATTGTTGTATATCATCTACCTCATGAATTATTTACTCCTTGTTTGTTACATTCAAATTGTTTCCAATATACAACACCATATTTGGACATTTTCCAATCTTTGAACCTTTTTATTGAAAAAACAATGCGCTAGAATTATAAGCAGCAAAAGCCTCTTCCTAAGAGTTGAAACATCGTCCAATTATTTATCAATAAGAACTCGTTATTCATTAATTAACGTAAGATATTCATCATAAAAACGTAATAAGATAATACACCATCGGTCAGAAAACAACAATGAAATTCATGTTCATCATTAACCATATAATACGCATTATCTTACGCATGTATATTCATCAATAAAACGAATACATTCTACATCAATCATCTTTCAATAATTGCATAACATTATTCATTGTCTAAACGTTGGTTATTCATTACTGGGAAAATACACATTGATTCTCCATATTCATAAGTCTCAATGATTAACCATAGTCAATTTTACTAAAATAAAATTCATCGTTATAAAAAAATTATCTCATAAAATAAAATAATATAAAAGCTAACATGATAAGTAAAAAAAAAGGTTTAAAATTAAACATGTGTCAAAAAAAAGGGATAAGATCAAGGAGTTAAATGCCAAAAAAAAAGGAGATAAAATTATGGGGATTAAATGGGATAAAATTATGGGGATTAAATGCCAAAAAAATGGGGATAAAATTCGATGATTAAATGCGCGTGTGAGAACTAAAAATCCGGACTAAAATGATCACTTTTTTCTCCTAAGTTTGTGATACAGGCACTGCCTGAGTACACCTTGCAAGGTGTACCTAGAATCTTAATATTATTTGCCCATGTTGATTTGATTATATTCCCTTCCCTTAATCAAGGCTATAATTAGCATAACAACTTGACTGATTGAATTAATGACGTTCTCCTTTTCATATACAAGGCGATCAATCACAGTGTTAAAACTAAAAAAAGTTAGAGATTATCTTCTGTTTTTTTACTAACTAAAAGTTATTTATATATTGAGCAATGACACTGTTTGTGTTAGGAGCATCATGTCAGCTCAAGTTGCCTTTTATCTTATGGAATCACTAAATCACTCAATTTTTTAATCCCAACTATGTTTCGACTTTCATCACTAGGGTAGAAGGAACTTTTCCATACCTTTTCCTTCTAAAAAGGGACTACAAAAATTACCATCTAAAATCAATTCGATACATTTTTCAAACATATTTAATGAAGTGAACATTGAATTGTGATGAATTATGACCTAATGTGTCATAACAGAACCTTCAAACACCATCGGATGTGGAATATATGCAAAAAAAAAAAAAATGTCCTTGATTAAACACATTTAGTTTGTAGTTGCTGGGGAACATTTTTTTTAAAGACCTTAACTGTTCTTAACTCCATCTTAGTTAATTGCTCCTTTGGAGATCATTCTACCTCAGAAATTTTTGTTTGTTTTGTTTTTTTTTTTTGTGGTTTTTTTATAATAATAAAATAATAACTATCTCATCCCAGCATATCTTTTTACATTTCCAATATACCTTTTTACATTCTGAATAAAAAAAAAATCTAAAAATACAAAAAAAAAAAAACGAAACAAACATTACTTAGTATTGAAGGTTGAGATAAAGAAACAAAGCAGTTTCAGAAAATTAGCAACTGCTGCCAAACATTTAACTCCCCAAATTAATCAGATTCTTGTACAAAAAAACTATCTTACTTGATGAATTAATAAAAAAATAAAATCGAAATATTTTCTCACCCCTTTCTTCTCACCAAAATTCTATTTACCTAATGCCCAAACATTAATATAAGATCGAGATAGACCCACCCAGCTAATGCTAACTGAAGACCAAAAGAGAATACCTAATGCCCAAACAATATAGGATACAATAAATTTAGTATATATTTTGCTCTAACTTGCTTATAGCACAAAACTATAATGTTTTTTTTTTTTATTAAGTATATACTATATCTATCCCTATTCAAACAAATCGATTAGTTTTTGTCAATTTTGTAAATTTGCATGTGTGTCCAACCATCAATAATAATAGTGAATAACATCTTAACTAATTAGTTTCAAATTCAGAATAGGGTTAATGTTCCCACTAACGAACTCCTGTCTTTATTTACTACAAGCAAACTTTCATTAAGGCAAATGAATTTGACAAAAGGCATTCAAGAGTTAAACTATCAATTAATTATATATCAATGAACAAGAACGTAGAATTTCCTTAACTGATGCACATTGAATCAACCAAAAATAACCCACTATAAATAGTGTCACAAAAATTCAATATATATAAAATCACCCTCCCACCTGATCAGCTATTAGTTTTTTTAGCTCATTACTAAAAGAAAAAGGAAAGAAAAATGGCTAGATTTTCTTCTTCAGCTGTATCATTCGCAGCGCTTGCCGTCGCTAGCTTGCTAGTCATTTGGGCTCCAGCGACATGTTCCGGCGACGACGGGATCAACTTCCTGGGCTTACCATGGGGACTACCGTGCCTGCAAGCCGTAATCGGAACCGACGGCTGCGTTCAAGAGGTGGTGTCATCATTTATAACTCTTCAGCCCAGAATTCTTGGGCCGCAATGTTGCCGAGCATCCATCACCGTCGACGATGGCTGCTGGCCAAAGATCTTTCCACTCAACCCATTTTTCCCGCCGCTGCTCAAGAGCTTTTGTGTTTCTCAGCTTCATCTGCCAGCATCCCCATCCCCGTAGGAAGGTGACAAATGCTAAATGCTGTCTTAGAAAAACAGTCCAAATCGTAGATTTAAAAATTATACTAAAAATAAGAGTATAATTTTTATTTTACAATTTGGACTATTGTTCTGGAGACAGATGGAGTATTTGCATGAAAGCAAATACTTTTCTTAGTTTTTGCATGGCTCTTTGGTCATTTTAATTAGTAGTTGTTTAATTAATTATTAGTAATACGGCTATTAGATGATATCTTCTAGCTGTAATGTTTTTAGTGTTAGGGTATCAAGTATTTTGGATGTTGCTGTCTGATTCTGTTTCTTTTTTATTTTATTTTTATTTTTATGTTTACTGAGTTTATGTAAAAGTAAAAAAAAAAAGTAATGGGAGAATACTTTATTATATTTTGTTCTGAAGATTGGGAACTGGTATGACAATTTGGCCACCCTAGCAATTATTATACTTGCATTCACTGGTCTACCCTTTTGTTTGATTGTACTTGTTGTTTGGAGAAACTATAAATAAAGATGAAGAATGAGATTAAGGAGGAAAGATGTCCTAGAATATTTTTGACTGGAAATTTACGGTCTGCTTAATACCTTCTGAGGCACCTGAGGTGGTTTCTTTGTTAGTTACAACTATTTCCTTATTTCAGTCTTGTTCATAAGTGAAGAGACAAAATATCGTAGATATACTTAATTTAACATTCTACTTAGCATTTCGTAGAATGCGATGTAATAGTTTAAATACTTTCTCTTATAACTAATATACATATAATTTTTTTTTTAAAAAAGGAAGTAATTGGCCCATGTCATTAGCCATAGGGAAAATAGTCCGGTTAATATGTTGTTTACTATTTTACTTCAACAACCGATAATCGTAATATTAATACAATCCCAAATAAATATTATTAAGTTTTATCCTCAAACTTGATAGTAAAAGAACGTATTGCGAAAAGTTCACAACAATGATCTTATCGAACAAAACTAATTAAGAGCTTTTGTTAGATAACACTATTTTTTGGTTTCAGCATGTTTGATAACAAAAACTGAATCACTTATTAAATTAAATAGTGCTGAAACTGCAGTACAAAATATACGCAATAAAAGTTAGCTTATTATTTATTCCGTAACTGCTTAATGTATTCAATATTTTTTATTCATTATTAAGCATTCAGACTCCACGAGACGCGCTTAATCACCTTAAGTAGAGAGTAACATGACGTGAAACACATTTCCTTTAATATGCAACGACATCAGTGAAAAATATTCCAGCCATGAGGATTGGATATATAATGGTCTTAACAAACTAGTACCACAAAGTCCAAATTACAAAATTTAATGTGGATTTTTTGAGAATAAAAAGAGTAGTATATAGCAATAGAACTAGGCATGTTGGATGAGATCAGTTCAAAATTAAATATTGAAACTTTTTCCTTTTAACCACTGTGTTAAAAAAGAGAGATGAAGGAATCAAAGTGTTTCTTTTTTTTTTTTTCTGTTTTTTTGTCTTTTTTTTTTTTGGAGAAACGCTAATATGGGACAAAACTATGAGCCGAAAACAATCTGGTAAAATTGTTCCCTCTATTTTGATATGGTTTGTTCATCTGTTTCAGCTGGAAATTTCTTTTCTTTTTCTTAATGCTTTAATAAAGGAGAAAAGACTGAGAGGTACGTGGGAAAAGGAAAAAAAAAAAACTCAATACAAAATCCAACAAATCAATCTATACAAAATCCAACAAATCAATCTATGTAAGGCAAAATATTTACTCCACTTCACCACCACACCCCTCGAAAAAGAAAAAAATGGTCCACTTCAACCAAAAAGTTAAAAACTTGATTTAAATCCCCCCTAATCAAAGAATGGAGATCGATATTTTATTGCGAGCAGCAGAGCTTCCTTTCTGTTTAGAATAAAAGTTAGGGAAATTCTTATTAGGTCATTGCCATAGTGTTCTTTTGTTGTTTTTTACCCTCTTGTATCAGAAGGGATCAACACCGATTTTCCTAAAGTGGCATATTGATCCAATTATCAATCCAAACCCTAATAAAAACAGCGGAGATGCATGTTTTACAACTGTAGATTAACTAGATGGCACTTCATCGTGAACACATTACATTAGCATGAAAATCATTAGAAGTCCTTAGTAATTAGTTCTAAAAACTAAACTTTGTTAACGAATTTGATTCGGAATTTCAAAAAAGGAGCATATAATTCACAGTTGGACTTGTAAGCGATTGAAAGTTAAAAACAGGCGAGGGAATAAGAATCTTTCTCAATAAAAATAAAAAAATATGGCCAACGAGAAGGGCACAAATATAATAAAGATATATAATCATAAAAACGAAATTAACGTGTGCAAAAACTCTCTCCCTCAAACCAATTGTCCCATTACATATTAATCATAACCAGAAAAAAAAAAAATAAAACACAAGAAACAAACACTAATTAAATTACTTTCAAAACCTTATAATTTTTCTTCTTTTTGCCACAAAGAGTCGCGTTAATTTGTAGCACTGATTTACACCGGATTGGCCTTAGTGGAAGCAACAGACTTCTGGCGCTTCTTTAAAATTGACACCAACCAAGGCACACCTACAGCAACCACGACGCAAGTAATACTTAACGCCACGATGACATACGTATTGTTCAAAATCTTCATGGCGTTCATCGTTGTTAATTTGGACAATAATAGTAATAATAATCTTATATATGATGATGATGGGAAAAAAGGGTTTGCAAATTTATGGCTCTGAATACAATTAAAATTGATGATTTGAGAACAGAACATTATACTGTATTTATAACCAACTTCGAAGTTTTAATTTAAGGAAATTGTCCAGAATTGGAAAATATGGGGAATATTATGTCTTCTTCTTCTTCTTTTTTTTTTTTTTGAAAAAAAAGGCAATTAAGCGTAAGTATGCCTCAAAATGGCAAATTATCCAGTATACCCGGGGGTACCGTGCCCCCCTTCTATTTTTTGCATTTTTAGCCCTTATTGTACTTTTTATCAATCTTTCTATATTTTACAAGTATAGTCCCTGTCATTTTTTCTCTCTCTTCCAAAAAAAACATCTCTAATCTTTAAACGAGCATATCTCTCAATCCGTGAAGAATTTGTGAACAAATTATATATGAAATTTGTAGTACTCGTCGAGATCTATCCAACAAAATCCATAGTGAATATTTTTTCGGGCTTAAAAATCACTTAATTCTGATGGACAGAATAGGGGTGGATATCCAGTTTTACAAGATGGATAACCAACTTGTTCTAAATTGGTTATCCATCGTGTTCATTCTGATTATTCAATCGGTTTGAACTGGTTATCCATTTTGTTTCTACTGCTTATCCATTTGGTTATCCAACTTCTTAATTCAAAATAAGTTGGTTATCCATCTTCTTAAACTGGATATCCAATGCACTAATACTGGTTATCCAATGGACTTACATGCTTATCCAAATTATTTGTAATGGTTATCCACTGTGTTCATGTTGATTATCCAACTTGTTTGTACTGGATATCCACTGTGTTCATGCATATCCAACTCTAATCTTTCAACGAGCATATCTCCCAATCCGTGAAGAATTTGTGAACAAATTATATATGAAATTTATAGTACTCGTCGAGATCTACCTAACGAAATCCACAGTGAACATTTTTTTGGGCTTAAAAATGACTTAATTCTGATGGGCAGAATAGAATAGAGGTGGATATCTATCTTTTTTTTTTTTTGAAGAGTGAATCTCCAACATATGATTGGATAACAAGTACGAACATAATGGATAATCAGTCCAAACCGATTGGATAACCATTTTTCAAAGAAAAACGAAAAACACATTTTTTCATTTTCTGCCCATAAAATTTAAATGCATTTAAAGTTCAAAAAAAAATTCAACATGGATCTTATCGGATAGATTTCGTCGAGTACTATAAATTTCATATATAATTCGTGTTATAATTCTTTACGAATCAAAAGATACAAGGAACACAACGATATGCATGTAAAATAAGTTGGTTATCCATCTTCTTAAACTGGTTATCCATTGTGTTCATGTTGGTTATCCAACTTATTTGTACTGGATATCCATCCATTTGGTTTGTATGCATATCCAACTCTAATCTTTCAACGAGCATATCTCCCAATCCGTGAAGAATTTGTGAACAAATTATATATGAAATTTATAGTACTCGTCGAGATCTACCCAACGAAATCCACAGTGAACATTTTTTCGGGCTTAAAAATGACTTAATTCTGACGGGCAGAATAGAATAGAGGTGGATATCCATCTTTTTTTTTTTTTGAAGAGTGAATGTCAAACATATGATTGGATAACAAGTACGAACAGAATGGATAATCAGTCCAAACCGATTGGATAACCATTTTTCAAAGAAAAACGAAAAACGCATTTCTTTATTTTCTGCCCGTAAAGTTTAAATGCATTTAAAGTTCAAAAAAAATATTCAACATAGATCTTATCGGATAGATCTCGTCGAGCACTATAAATTTCATATATAATTCATGTTATAATTCTTTACGGATCAAAAGATACAAGGAAAGGAATAATATGAATGTAAAATAAGTTGGTTATCCATCTTGATTATTTATGTTAATACTGTTTATCCAACTAATTAGTATTATTTATCCAACCTGGTTTTTGTTTTTATTATTTTTTAAAAAATAATAAACTAAGTTGGTTATCCAACTCGTTTGTATTGGTTATCCAATCATTGGTTTGTATTGGATTATCCAATGCGCTAATGCCTGGTTATCCAATGGATTTACATGGTTATCCAAATTGTTTGAACTGGTTATCCACTGTGTTCATACTGGTTATCCAACTCGTGCACACTGGTTATCCAACTTACTGGATATCCAACTTATTCTGCCCAAAGAAATTTGATCATTTTTAAACTCAAAAAAAATATTCGAAATGGATCTTGTTGAATAGATCTCGACAAGTACTATAATTTTCATGCATAACACATTCTCTAATTCTTTACGGATTATGAGATATGGTCATTGAAAGATTAGAGATGTTTTTTTTAGAAGAGAGAGAAACAATGACAGGGACTATACTTGTAAAATATAGAAAGTTTGATGAAAAATACAATAAGGACTACTCGTGCAAAAATAGGAGGGGGGGCACGGTGCCCCCGGGTATACTGGATACAGCCTCCTCAAAATCGTCAAACGTTTTGGTAATAATAGGAAAAAAATTAATGTGAAGATAATTAGTTTCATGTGAATCAGAAGTATGGTTTTGGAATCTTATTTTGTAATTATTATTTTCTTTTAGATAAAAGTGCATGCGGATGGTGACAACAATAGGATAACAAAAATAAAAATTGAC